TGTCGGCTGAACAAATATGTATAGAGCAAAGCTTGAATCCAGAAATGCAGGAGCTGCTAGGTGGAAAAACTTCTCTTAGATTACATAAATTAACATTGGATGGTTTTCCGATCTATTGTATAATTGAGTCAAACTTTGTTAAACCTTATCTCCCACAGAGCCTCCGCAAAACTGCATTCGACGTAGTCCATGGTATTTCTCATCCAAGCATCAGGACCACATCCAGGGAGGTACGCAGCCGGTATGTTTGGCCTGGAATTGGAAAGGATGTTGCTACTTGGACTCGTCAATGCATATCCTGTCAAAAGTCCAAGATCCATAAACATAATCATTTCAATCCTTTGCACATCCCTATTCCTGATGAAAGAGTCTCTCATATTCATATTGACATAATTTCCTTACCCAATACTAATGGTTTTCCTTACTGCTTAACAATTATTGACAGATTTTCAAGATGGCCGGAAGCCATCCCACTGAGAGACATCACAGCTGAGACAGTCACGCAGGCATTGTTTACGTGCTGGATTTCCAGATTTGGTACACCAACTACAATAACATCAGACCAAGGCACGCAGTTTGAGTCATCTCTCTTCAAGTCCTTGGCACAGGCAGTTGGTGCAAAGAAAGTACGTACGACAGCATACCACCCTCAAGCAAATGGATTAGTAGAACGTTGGCACAGAACCCTAAAAGCTGCACTGATGTGTTCTTCTGAACCGTGGATCAAGACACTACCCTACGTACTACTTGGTCTACGGAATTCATTCAAGGAAGACATCAAGACATCAGCAGCAGAGATGGTTTACGGAACCACACTGAGACTTCCAGGTGATTTTTTCAATACATCTAATAACTCACAGAATCCATACACCACTAGTTATCATTATTATTAAGTTATTTAAATATGAATATCAATCCAGAATTATTCGATTGCTTATCATTTATCGTTAGTATAAAATCCAACATTAGTTTTGAAATAAAAAAATGAAATAGGATAAAAAATACTGTTTTAAAATAAAATTTTAATGGTCGGTTCTAATTATAGAACAAAAGTTATATTTCAGCAGAACTAATATAACTTGATTTTACAAAAATGCAATTTACTAGAAAATTAGGGATTATAAACGTGGAGTTTAAATGCAATAAAACTTAAGGCAAATTATTCAAATAATTACGTGGTTTAAAGCAAAAGCTATACATGTCTAATTAATAAGCTGTACAAGAAAAAATCAAGTTTACTGTTTTATAATAAATCTTGGCCATGCTTAACAATAGTTTTATATCAGTAGAACAATCTATTTTTACATATGCAATTGCATATTTAGTATTTATTAATTAATTTATTAATATATTATATATTAATTGCATTGTTAGTAATAGTAGTATTTGATATTTATAAAAATTGATAGTAATTATTTAAGTATTTTAAATTTATAATAATGTAATGTAATGTAATTTGTAAATTTATAACTTGCTAAGAACCCGCATTGATTAGATTTATGCGACGATCGGTCAAACAGTTTCTTCATAATTAGCAGAAAAGTGCAATAATTTTTATTATGAATGTTGAAACAATTTAGATAAAGTGTTGAATCAGTCTAACCGTTTCTTTCTAATTAATTGATGCAAAAAATCGACGATTTTGATAAACTTTTGATGGTAATGATGATGTAATTGTCTGAAAAGAGATTATAAAATAATAAAGTAGTTCATTTACAAATATTTGTCAAAATTGGGAATAATGCTGTGTCAAATTTAAAACTTTTATTGTCACAATTCCAAAAATTTCTAAGCTTAAAGCTAAATCATATTACTCAATTATGTCGATTATTTACATGTGTCAACAAGTTTCTGCAACTTGCCTTAAGAAAAAATGTCACTCATACCTAATTTAGTTGAGTAATTAATTTTAATTATATTTGTAGAAAAATATCTAGTGATTAATCTAAAAAGAAATTTAATCATCAATGATCACATCAAATTAATTGAAATGTAGCAATAAACTCATCAGCAAAAACAGAATTTAAATGATTCAAATGAAAAAATATGACAAATTTTATTAAAAACGATAATACAAAATATTTACTTATTTATTCAAGTGTTTTTATAATCTAATTGTCAGATACTACTGATGTAAAAAAAATCGTTCCACTTTTTGTAATATAAATTAAATGTACTTTGTGAGTTAATTAATGAATGATAATGCATAATTTGACATCGATTGTAAATAAAAATATAAATAATTCATAAAAAATTAATAAAAAACGAATAAAAATGAAAAAAATTGCCTCTGCCGTGACAATGTGCGCGACATTGCCGTGACCAGGATTCGAACCTGGGTTACCACGGCCACAACGTGGGGTCCTAACCACTAGACGATCACGGCTACCAGAGGACATGAACGAACGCTTGTATTCGCGCTTATAACAGAGTAGCGCGTTGCGCATGGAGCGAATAGCAGTGAGGAGAAAGTTGGATATTCCGCTTTCATTTGTGAAATGAGTTTTTATAATATTATTTGATATCAAACATTACTTTTATTATTTATTTATATTTAAAATAATTAATTGAAGAAAGAAATCATATTTCAAACTATTATAAATTAATATTTAAATAATGAATATCATGAGCTGTACTAAAATTGTACTTAGAATTTTTGATACGTGTATTTTGGTATTTTGGTATTTTGGTATTTTGGTATTTTGGTATTTTCGCATTTAAAATCGGTATTAATATTATTTTAAAACTAGTAATGCATGGCATTGTGCCTTGAGGCAAATTGCTGGAATTTCCCGTACCGAGAACTAAATTATTAAAAAAAAACATCCAAATCTTTGAAAAAATTAGATCTTTGAGAAATTTTGAAATTTTTGAAAAAAAAATTGACTTTTTTGAAAAAATAGATTTTTCTATTTTTAGATTTCTTTGTATCTTGATTTTTTTTTTGAAAATTTTGTACATTTTATTAAACGTTGGTACAGAACCCATATAAATGTACACAAAATTTGTACTTATTATTATAATCTTTATAAAATATCTGATAATGCGATTTACATATGTCTAATGTTCATTTTTGACCGCCAAATGGCGTTTTTTTAGTTACATCCATTTTTTCTAAGGTATGCCGAAATGTTCAGAAACCATTGAAACGTACAGATATATAAAAATGTTTATTTTCGATTTTTTGCGATTTCACTATAACTTACCCTACGGGTAGTTAAAAATTTCAGTATATATCTAAAATATATACTGAAATATATAAAATATAAATATAAATATATTCAGTATATATTTAAAAAAGGAATATCATGAGCATACTATAATTGCACTTAAAATTTTTTCAAACAGGTATTTCGGTATTTTCGCATACAAGGCGGTAATACCGGTTTTAATAATATTTAAAAACAAGTAATGTTAAAATAGAAAGTCACTTATACAATAATAAAACAAATTAATATAAACAAAAAATAAAACCTAGAAATAAAATATAAAACTTAACTTAACATCAATAGCATATTATTAAGAATATTTATATACGATATTTTATACAAATTTCACTATGATTTTAAAAACATATTTGATCCAACGTACCGTCGTCTAACCTCGATTTTGGCTGTATATTTAGAATATTTATAAACATATATAATCATCAGCCATACTATGCTTTACTTTTTACGTAAATTAATATTTTTTGATTGGTGAAATTTTTAGTTCCAAGATAAATTACAATCTGTCTTATAGTAACAAAAGCATTTAGTAATTATTATGATTGATATGTGTGAAGTTAAAAAAATAAAGATTACCCAGTGGTAATGCTTTATTTTGCTGATTTTGAGTATTTGTAGTATTAATATTTTGGCGTCGATGTCACTTTAAAAAACCAATACGTTTTTATATAAGAGGAATAAAACATTATTATCTATCAGTCTGATCAGTCTTTAAGCTTAAATTACGTAAGAATCTGCGTACACCCTACCATATGTAGGTTTTGAGACAACTTTTAGGGTGTATTTACCGAGTATTTACAGACTTACAGCTGGGTATCTCGAATTCTGAGGTGAACTTACCATAATGACTAGACTAGATTCTATTTATTGAGAAATAATATAAAGCTCTTTGAAAAGCAATAATAAGAAGTCGATATAATATTTTGACACTTGTTTATACTATGGAACGACCTAAAAAGACACCTGCTTTGCGATTAGAGATTTAAAGTTTAAATGATTTCGAAAAACTTAAATTCAAATGTAACATGTCCAACTAGCTTTCATGTTTCAATAACGAAAATATCGGTATTTAAGCTAAATTCGATAGTAATACCGCCGAAAATTCAAATGGTGTACCGGTTTTCGGTATACCGGTATTGCGTTAATTTTAAAAATTGTTTGATGCATATCGGAAAGAATTTATTATTAAATAATATTTCTTTAATATTTTTTTATTTTTTGTTGTTTATTGTTATTAAATTTATTTTTACTCCGCCGAATATAAACCTTGTATTTAATGCTATTTAAAGCTTACCTTAAACTAAAAGCATGGAAAAAGTGCATTACCGGCATTTTGCATGCACAATTTGCATATAGTACATAAAAGATTACTTTTTAATCAAAAATTAAATTCGTTGTGTACCTGTACACAATGTATTATAAATAAATTTAAATAAATTAATTAAATAATAAACTTTATGAGCTTTACATAAATTTAAAAATGAAAATGGCACGTTACAAAAACCCATATTACCATTGTTACGTAGATAATATTTGATTTTGTAGTATAGAAAATACTTGCAGATTATTAAAACAACTTCGTTTCTACTGTTGTGAAAATGAATTTAATCAATAATCAATAAAGTATAGTTGATAATAAATCAAATTTAATAGAAACATTGTCGTACATAGATATCTTTGTTTTCATCGAAAGTGCAAACATTTACAGATTTTCACGATATTCAGAATAATTCAAGATTATCGATAAAAGAACATTTTAATATTATAACTTACCAAGATCAAAACATATAATGGCAGGGCCGCATTCCGATTTGTGGTCTCTAATTCACAGGCTGCTGTAAGAGCAATTAGCGGGCATATTGATAAAAAAGCAGCTGCGACCCTGGATTTCAATAATCCTGGGACCCTGGACAGACCCAAAACCAAAGCGCAGATTATGATACAAGTGCACAGTAAACCCAGAAGCCAATGCAGCTTTGAGTTCTGAAAAGATAATATTAAAAAAAATTATATTAATGTTAATTCTCGATAAATTTAATCATTAATTATCTTCACTTTTGCAAATTAAAAAAATCAAATAAAAATAAATGTAATTATAGAAAATGTAATTTTTTTTATTGAGAATAAAAAAATATTTTGTTGATTTCATTTAAACTATTTCATTATAATTTTAGGAGGTTTTAATGTCACAGTTAAATTATTGTTATGCGGTGTAAAAATGCTTTGAACTTAAATTAATTGAGGTAATAAAAAATAGATATATAAAATGTTAGTAAGTTTAAGTATATATTACAAAAATTATATAAATGAAATATCATATAGATACATAATAATAATTAGTTTATTTGGTTCATTTTTTTGCGGAGTAAAAAATATATAGAGCATTTTAAACAAATATTCTTAAGGTTTATTATGTTAAGATGGTAATATTAATTACCATTATGAAAATTTTTAGAATTTAAAAAAATAGTTAATAAATATTGCTCTAAAATTATAAACAATATGTGAAATGAAATGGATACTGGATTATACACACACACACACACACACACATATATATATATATATATATATATATATATATATATATTATATTATATATATTAGATCCAAGATATTCCAAAATTCTTTAACTACTCTTTAGCATAGGTACCTCTTTTACAGAATTAGAATAATTCACAGAATTTTAGACAAAAATACTAAAAGATCAAGCACCTAATATATTATAAAAATTCGTATGTCCAAAAAAAATAGTCAATGAACCTTTTTTTCTAAAATTATTAGAAAAATGCAAAATGAAATAAATCCTAGATTATATGTATATTTATACTGTCTTATATGTGTATTTATGCTGTCCATAACTTATACATTTATATTGGCTATTTTAATACATTGAGTAAATTAATTTATACATTTTTGAACTGCACTTTAATATATTTCTCTTGCCGATTTAGCAAAATTTACAGTAGTTTAAACAAATATGCTTAAAAAGTATTAAGTGAGACGTAAAGTGAGAAGTAAAGTGATTAAGTGCAGCTTTATTACAGCATTACAAATAGTGAATTATAAATAAATTATTTAATTGAATCTTCTAATTTAAAATTATTAGCAATGTGTGAATTGAAACAGATCCTGGATTATATGCAACAATGCCTATTAAATTGTCTCTGATCTTACAATGATAGAATGCACTAGTATAAGCATCAAGCGCATTAACAGTTTCCGTATTATGTACTTGATCATCTCTTAGTTTCCTTAATGGGTATTAGAGAATTGTCAGAATTGTTCGAATATACAATATATAGTTATATCTTATTATTTTATGTATATCATATGATGTAACGTACAATTCTATGACCAAATCCAAATGGAACATTTAAGCAAATATGCATTTTATCTGAACTTAAGATGATTTTTTCAACGACGGTTTGATTTAACACAATCCATATAATAAATTCGATTGCAATCTTTATCAAAATACTATCTAATATTTTCTATACTGATATTTATTTACATAGTACAATCTTGGACTCTATATGATCACATTCGACTCTACTCTATACAATGCAATATCATATACTGAAACTCATTTGATCAATGTTCTACATATTCATTTATATTTAATTAACACATAGAAAATAGTGTTCAAACAGTTTATTTCAGTTTAGCTAGTTACGATAGTAATAAATTATTTGACCGATATTAAAAAAAAATAGTCTTCACAAATGCTGCATGGAAATCTCCGTTTGATCTTACATACTAACTTATTGTTATTAAAACGATACATGCTAACTTGTTCTTATTGATAAAAGTGCTTTAATCGATAAGAATAAAGTAATTATTGTATCCATATTTAAAAACTTAACTATTTAAATTCACTTTGTCTTTTATTTTACCGTATCAAGCTTTAGTTAAAAAATTCCTATTACCTGTTTTACGGAGTTGAATAATGCGTTTAAAAGCTCAGTTTAGACTCTGGTAATTGAAGTTTTATATTACTATTTATGTTTTATATAACTTCAAGTGGAAATAGGAAGGATATTTAATTAATTGATATTTAAATAAATATAAATTATATAATATATTTTTTAAATAAAAAATCCAAATTTTAACTTTTGTATCTGTAATATTATTTTACCTGTTCTTCTGTAATTAAAAGCCATATTGTTGCCGCCACGCATGTAATGATTCCAATTATTAATCCAGATACAAATAATGACCTCCTAAGTCGACGTTTATGCCTAGCATACAAGACATCTAATTGACTTGAATCTGCAAAACCAAAAATATAAATTAATTTCATAAAAATAAAATCATAACATTAGAATTAATAAGACTTTTTATTTCCAAATCCAACATAAGTCATCAAATGATAAATGGAAATTGTTATACAGGAATTGAATGAACGAATAAATCTTCGATAATTTAGAGTCATTTCAATAAAATGAAACTGATTTAAATTAATCTAATGCATTCTTGTGACACGTTGTTATATAGATAAAAAAGGTACATCGTGGAAAAACTTTAAATAAGTTCATCTCGACATATTTCAATTATGAATTAAAAGTTATCATATATAATATATATTATATTTTTTCATTTTTCTTTTACTTGCATATAATATATATGTCATGAATATTATAAATTTTTATGATTAAAATAATTTATTTTTATATATATTATTATATTTACAAGGCTGTTGACAAAGCTGTATTAGAACCTTTATTAGAGTAGTAAAAAATTAGTGTGTTCATATATCAAAGATATATGATATACATTAGTAACCTATTAAGACGAACATGCTTAATATCTTGCATAATACTTTTAGGCAGGTCTCTACATTTTGATATAGACAATATATAGATATAGATCCTATTCTGCATAATACGATTTTTTGCATAAGACTCATTTTTGGTCCAGTTTTTCGATAATCGTTTTAACGGTATTTTATAGTATATATAAGTTCTTTAACAAGATTGATTTTTATTCAAAATTATTCTAGATATTAATATGATTGAGAAACGGACGAAGCTCATTAAATTAAGATTATTCTACCTTCAACATTCTATATAATTAGCTTTAAATATTAGATTTGTTGATTTAACTTATTTTAATGAGTTCTACCAGTAATACTTTTAGAATTAGGAGGATTTTGTATGAGTTGAACTTTAAAAACTTTGTTAAAATAACGATTACAGAATTGAAGGATTTTATAAAGTAAGGTTTTGTTTTCTTTTTCTTAAAGACTTTTAAATTAAAATTCCTGCATCAAATAATTGTTTAAATACTGTAAGTAGTTAGATATAGTTTCTAAAATTAATAATGATTTCACACAGTATGAAATATCGATAATAGTAAACCAACTAGTTCACAATAAAAAATGTAAGATAATAATTTAAAGGTTTTAACTAAACTAACTTGTATGGTATTTATAAGTAAACTAAATTGAATTGACTAAATAGAAAATTATTAAAATAAACAAGAAAAATATTAAATTTTTTTATAACAATGAGTGAGTACTAATAACTTTAATTGCACTAATTGTAAGCACTATTTATGATTAAATAAAAGCAAATTTTACAAACATTATTTATAGAAACATTTTTCTTTTTCAACGTAATGTTGGAAGTTATCACAATATTATAAAATTTAAATTTTAAAATATATCAAATTTTGTTATAGATGGGAAAAATCCATCACATCATGAAAATGCAATAAAGAGCGCTGCAATAAGCAAGAGTGATGTACGGAGCACTTATTTTTGATGAATGTTTTACATACGATAAACTTAAAAAATGCATGTAATTTTTTACAATCCCATAAATATTAAATCTTATATACCTACATATACTTTTAATAGAAAAACAAAATAATAACATACAATAATTTTTGAGTATTTTTATTTCAAACAATATAATGGTTCTAATTTATTTTCAAGCTGCGACGTGTTTCACGTAACGTAATAAGGCATCAACGTTGTATGCGTTCCGATATCAACAAGGAAATCGGCATAGATACTTAAACATTTTAAAATTTACATCGTAGTACAAATCTTGTTTTAATGAAAAATGTTTGAATCAGAAGAATATTTTATCTTGTTCCTTGAAAATAATAAAATGAATTACATATTTGTTCTGTGAACTAAACGTAAGTTTATTGATTAGAAATTATTTCTATTTTATTCACAGTTTCTATAAACCTTTGAAGTTATTAAAATGGAAAATATTTTTTAGGCAAGACAGATATTACAGCTGTTCAAAGAATAAGATTGTATCGCCAGCAAAAAAAATAATACAAGCAGTCAATGAATGTACATTAATTTAAATTACATGAAGTTCTTCAAACACAATTACATGATGAGTGAAGTTGCAAAAACAATATTTGTTTAGGCATAATTCACTGTGTGAATGAATATATAACGACAGATCTCATCTGTCGTTATATATCTCATCTCTATTCACATACACGACGACTAATCACAATCGACCCGTATAGAAATGATCTCATCGAGAGCGAATGACATTGGCACTTCCGTTGGATTTGTACGGATTTACAACCTACTCGCGCCTAAAAAAGTTTTACTTGAAAATCATAACTGCGTGAATTACAGAGCAGTTCCTACGAACTTTGTTGCCTCACGACTCTATAAAACTAGTGATTGGTAAAATAAATTTTTTGCTAGTCATAAAAAATAAATTTTTCTATATTCTATTATCCTTTTCGAATTTTTCCATAAACTGTCTCTAAATTGAAAACCTTACATGTCTTCTTAGAAGTTTACATTTTTCGACTCCTGCACGCACGAGAAAATAATATGAATGGATTTCATATCTAATTTCACAGATTGTGATTTTATGACGAAAAGCCCCAGGATGTTCTGTTAAAGTTAATTCGACAAAACCTATTATCGTACGTTGCTCTGGCAGCATAAGTCAGGGCAATTTCATAACTTTGGCTCTTTTCATATAAGTACATACATTTCGGGAATTTAATAACTCGCATTTAATGACAAAATGTTTGCTTGAAGTTAAATTTCCGAAATCAAAATATTTGTAATACACATGGTACAGAAAATACTATGTGTAAAATCACATGTATGTCAATGAAAATCAGTATATTATGTAGTACATAAACTATTTTACAACATTAGCTACTTAATCGATAGGTAATTTATTATGCTATAAAATAAATTATGACATTGTTATACACACATATAATTTGGATTCAGTGTTTAATTTTATGATGAAAATAGTTTGTGTTAAGTGATTTATGGTATGGCATTTAAAAATAAATTAAATGCTAATCAATATTAAACACTCATAAATATTTTTTAATGGTAATATAAAAATAATATTGAATTAAACTAAATTTTTACTGCAATTTCATTCACAATTATATACAATGAAATACAACATTTCTATTTAGATTATACCAATAAATAAATTCCAACAAAATTGCTATTGGCTCAAGTCTCTTGCCAAAAATTTTTGTGAACTGTTTTCGCGAAAATAATATAATGAAAATAAATAAAGACCTGGTTCTATAAGCTATCGTATTCATAAAATTCATTTTATAATCAAAACATTATTTGCTATCAACGATTTTTGATAAATAAATAAATTTACTAAATTGGTGACCCCCACATGATCTAAGAAGATAATAGGGTAGGGCAGAGCTTAAAGATCCAATTTGATTTTGAGTAAGTATATTGTAAAAACTAACTCAATTATATCACAGAAAATAGTACATGTCAAACAAACAACTATCTGACTATGTTAAGTGAAACTCCAAGCTAATTCGTCGTTGTAGAAATGTGTTTTTTTGTTGTTTTTCATAAATTTGACACCTGGTTCATTTCATCTAACAAGCTGAGAAAAATGGGACAATCACGTATAATTATTTAGTTTTAATTTTAAAGAGATTCTGCAGAAATATAGCTACATTATTCATCCAATAAAAAATATAAATCTCATGGGACAGAGGATGATACTGTATATAACCTTGATCTGGTGTTTTATCGAAAATAGTCATCAGTAGAGTTGGGATAACTATTTATTTAATTTATTTCTAGTTAAATTGCTTTATTTAAATGAATTTACTGTTATGTTCACTATTTTTTATTGTTTACGCCTTTGCCAGAGTAATGTCAGTTGGTCCTTTTTACCCCACCGTGGGTAGGCATGAATTAAAACGTATAAGAGATTATTTATAAAAAAAAACTATTGTATCTGAGTCAAAATTAGCAATACATCTTGGAAAATAATTAAATAATGTGTACTTAAAATTATATTGGGGTGAACTAAACAACAGTGCTCACAGCCAAAAAACTAACGAGGAAAAAAAATACTTTTGTCATGGATTTTTAAACATTGCCGTTTATCTCCCGTAATCAACATTGTAAGGATTAAGGTAATGACTGGTTGTGCATGCTTTTACCTATACTTTCAAATATTGTCGTTCAAAAATTTATAACTTTACTGGTTATTGAGATATATTTTTTATTAAAGTTTTGTTATGTATATTTTAGTATATTATATTTCATTATTTTCGAACTTAATTATCAAACAATATTGAAAAGTATTTCGTACATCATTTAACTGCATTTTTCCCGCATAAGAAAACGCAAATTTTTTTCATATCACATAGCAGTCAATAATTTATTAAATTTATCTCGACATGTCCTTTCTAACACTGGTAGTGGTAACACTATATCAAAAATATTAAAAAATCTTATCATGTTAAATTTTCTCACATATATTATTATTTTGTACGCTTTTGTCACCTACAAAAACTTTTTGTTCATAGAATAAATTACTATAGAAATCTATTCTTTGTTTCCTGTAAAATAGGTTGTGAGAGATTTTAAAGCAACATAGATTTAATTATCTCCAAAATGCTTTCAGTGTGTTATCTTTAATTAAAAGTGTACGCCATGCCTTGGGCAAATCTGTGTTCAACAGGACTAAAGGACGACTATTACATAATTGACTGTTTTTTTTTATTCTGAAACGACAATTCTATTTTAATTGACCTAGGGCAATGAAGAATTTGTTATTCTAATTTTTTTTAAAATGAAGTTTAACACAATTTTGCGTATTAAAAATTAGAAAAATCAAAACCTTGTTTATAAACAATGATTAGGTATTGCCTTAAAAATTTGTTTCCAAAATGTCTATAGCTTTAATTATTATTATGTATAAAAATAAAAATAATAAATGCATTATATTATATTTTGTTCTTACTATAATTAAGTAATGGCACTCATTCAAAAA